CTTGCTATATATCCCTAATTAATGCATAAATATGCAGTAAAACAATCCCTCCAATTATTCGATGTATATTAAATTAATATATTTATTATTATTTTTCATTATATGTATATTAAACCAAAATAAGAGAAAAATACATACCTTTTGATTTTCCCTTTCATAAAATTAAAGTTCACTATATAATGAATATATTTAATTCTTTTTCTCATAAAATATTCTCATTATTGCCATTAATTTTCTAATTTTGACGCCTATCTCTTGAAATTCTCTTCCTAATATTTATAGTCCATTGATTTCTTTTCAAAGTAGTATTGATAAAAATAAAAAAGAACAAGTAGTTCACTAACCAATTAGATATGCAAGTGCAGGGGCTTTACGCAATGAGAATGGCAATGTGAGGTGCATCACATCTTTAGGAAAGCAAACTACTGTCCATGTTAAATGGCTTTGAGATTTTAACATTTAGAAAGAGTTCTTTATGTATTTAGGGAGATACCTAATTTGGTACATGAGCATTTTAAAAATGATTTGTTAGAAATGTGTAGAGTTAGGATCTCTAAATTAATTAGTTCTTAAGCATTGCTTATTGTTAAAAAAAAAAAAAATTCCTCTTGATTGTTTCCTTTTTTGCTTTTGTTTTTGTTTTTTAACTAAAACTCCTAACAAAGTTCTCTATTATTATTATTATTATTATTATTATTATTATTGACTAGATAGTTGTAATTCATGGAATCTATTAATAAATCAATCATGTTTGCTATGATATATAATTTTTATTCTCTTGATTTTCATTTTGGGCCGGTTTATATTTTTGATTATTTTCACTAGAATTTATTTGCTCCTAAAAGTTTCAAACAATTTTTTTCTTATAATTTATTAGATTTATTATCAAGTCACTCTATTTTTAAAGGTAAATTATTAATATTTATTATTGATTATTTTCACTAAATTTTATTTTGTTTCCTAAAATTACTAATAATTCTTTTCTTCTTAGTGATTAATTGTTTGATGGTATAAATTATTGTCTTATTAGTATTCAAATTTTAGTTTTTATTATGATTTTTAAGCTCTAATAATGTTATTTTTATCTAATTTTTTTATTCATATTTCCCTTTTTTGTTTTTTTACTTGGGAGTCATAGGCTTTGTTTGCTAAAGTTTCATGCAAACCCTTTTCTCATAACACTTTATCTTAAAAGAGGTAAGTTTTTTTAATTTTTAATTAGTTTTTTATATAATTGTATTAAATTATTAGTTAATAATTATTTTATTATTATTTTTAGTTAAGTATAATATATTAAATTAAAGGAAGGGGAATAGAAATTCAATTTTATAAAAAATGATAACAAATTATAAGATTATAATACATAGTAGTTATTTTTACAATAATAAAAACCTTAAATGACTCAATTTTACTTTTA